AACCAACTAACCCATCAACCAAACCCACCACACAACCAACCAATCAATTAAGTTACCAACCAATCAACTAAGTTACCAACCAAATAAACAAACGATCCACTAACCAACAACTAACCAGTCAACCAAACCTATCACACAACAAACCAATCAACTAATCACTCCATCTAACAACCAACTAACCAATCAGCCAAATCCACCAAACAACCAAATAGCCAAGCAATCAATCAACGTTACCAAACAACTAATCAAATTATGCATAAACAAATATTAAACTTCGGCAAACCCCGAAAGCAGCCCTGAAAGGAAACCAGGAACCTTTTCTTTCCTGGCAAAGATGCCGTGGGTGGGGTTGGGGTGGTCCTCCCATGCCTTTCCTCTTGCCTCTGGCTCAGGTGAGCTGGCCAGTGTCTTCTGGTAAAGGGCAGAGGGTGGTGGGCTGGCAGGCACCCTGGCCCACTGGGCGATCCCTGCTCACGCCACCTCAGCTTGCTGACACTGGGGGTGAACTTCTGCAGCCGTGAGCACAGTCCACATGTACAGTTCTCAGCATGGCCGTTAAAAGGGAAGAGTGCGAGGTGGCAGCGTCCCTGGAGGAGAAGAGCAACCCCTCCGAGCAGGAAGGTGGCAGGGCTGTCCCTGGGCTCAGGCTTTGAAGAGCAGGCCAGTTTTAGATTTCGTCACATCCTGTCCTAGATTCCTCTGTTGGGTTTCTAACCCCTGAAGTGGGCATGTGAGGATGTAGGGGTGTGACATGACCTGTACTTACAGATAGATGGGAGGTGCCAGTGGCACACACAGAGGCCCTGCCATGGAGCGCCTAGCGGGAGGGTACAAACTGTGAACAGGTCTTCAGGAAGCCAGCCCTGCCCACACCTTGAGTGTGAACACCCACCCCACTTCTCTTATCAAAGCCACCTACCCAGTCTCCAATCTTGTCACTATAGGTCTCACTGACAGGTCCTTGACAAAAGACCCAGTGGTCATCACTGCTCAAAGTGCTGTCTGTAGTGGAAGTTTTGGTTTCCTTAAAAACTCAGTTATGTACGTTTTTGTCTTAATCCCAACTGTGGCATATGGGACTGCCTTAGTTTGTCTACAGGTGATAATTGCCTCATGTGGTCTGTGGCCTTTGCCAGCCGGTAACAGCTTCCTTTGACTCAGAGAGGGGTGTGGTCATTGCCAGCTGCGGATAATGGGATTCTGAGGACTCTGAGAGGGTATAACTACAAGAGTCCACAAAAGGGCTTTGAGGAGATGGACAGAGGAGGAAGAAGGCTACTTGTTTGTGCTGCTGCTGTTTGTCATTTGCTGCTTGTCGGGCTGCTAGGTATCCTGACGACTGAGATTGGTTATTTTCCAAAAGAACCCGACGACCCTAACCAACCGGAACTAAGTCTAAAGAGGTCTATGTCCCCTTTCCCTTCTAACCTTCTTTCTCTCCTACCAAGGAGGCTGAGGGATTGGAAGGAAGGTAGAGGCTTAAGGAATCCTAAATAAAATCGAGTTTAAAAAAACTAGTGCCTATAGCAGTCTTTGGGCTTGTGGTAAACATCTCAAGTCCCATACTTGCTTTCCATGCCAGAACCTACATTTTGTTAGGTCGCTAGTTTCCCGACCATGCTTCCTAGGAATGTCTCTGAGGTCTCCCACAATGCCACCTGGGCCTCCTAGCTGCTTGGAGCTTGTGGGTCGAGGCAAATGAGTTCACCAGTGAGGACGCTCTACCGGGATGTGTCACAAATCAAATCAGTTTTATTGAAACCATAGCAACAACCAGTGCGGCCCTGTTCATGCGAAGCACAAAAACTTACAATAAACTTTTGTACATAGGAAGTTGTAAAATACGTCATTTTTCATAGAAAAAAGCACACGGTAAACTGCGGGCCAAGAGAGCCTACAGATCATGGAGAGGTAGCACACCCCTCTGAGCAGACCGGGCACAGCTTGGAAGCAAATGGAAACTATCGGAGGGCAGTCGGGGATGCAGCTGGCGTGGGAGTGGTCCCCTTAAACCTGGGAGGGCCGATGGACACACAGGGTCAGACGGGCGCTGACATCATGGTCTTGTCATTTGTAGTTTTGCTTCCATTTTTTTTTTTTAAATAAGGTAAAGGCTTCCAGTTTCAAACTATTGGTGAAGATGAGCAAGGCTGCTAGGCCAGGCTCTGCGAGAGGCCTCTGTGGATGGTGGATGACGGCCAGTGAGCACTGAGGACCCCAGTCCAGACTCACAGAGCAACCTCCCCTGGAGATGGGATTGGTTGCTCATTCTGGAAATCCAGGAGGGATGTGATTTTCCAAACCATCTCAACCTTGCCGTGCAGGCTGGGTGAAGAGTCCCACAGCACTCCCTGGACCTGGAAATTTCTCAGATGTTTGGTAGCAACCAGAAGTTCCCCTCCACAGGCTGAGCAGATGTCTGTTTGCACATCTGGAGTGGAAGAGTTTATGCCTGCAAAGACGCCGTGCCCATGAGGGTGAGGTGGAAACAGACTGGTGGAAGGCCAGCTAGGGCTAGTTCAAGGTTGTGTGCTTTTTATAAACTCCCTGGAAGGGATGTATCTGGGGAAAGCTACGGCGGCATTCAGGAGGCCAGCCTGGGCTACATAATGAGTCAAGGCCAGCTTGGGAAACACAGTGAAACTCTGTCTCAAACAAACATTTTACCCAACTAGGTCTGGTGGCTCCCTGTCGGGAAGACTTTGTTCAGACTCCTTTAGTTTTTGTTTTGTTTTGTTTTGTTTTGTTTTTTTAAAGAACTATTTGTGTGTATGTGTGTGGCACCTGTGAAGATCAGCCAACAAACAGCCTGTGAATGGTGGGAATTGAACTCAGGTCCTCTGGTAGAGCCACAAGAGCTGCTAACCACCAGCCGTCTCCCCAGCCCTTTGCTTAGGGGAGGGGTGGTGTTTTGTTTTATTTTCTACTTTTTTATTTTTTATTTATTTTTTTTTTGCCTAGGAAATATTTGGCTGGAACACGAAGCCCCATTTGAGGCCAGCACTCACGGGCAATCTGTAACATCCCCAGGGCCGGGGTGGGATTTCACCTTCTCTAGAGTAAGCTGTTTACAAAAGCATGTTTCGTTTTACAGTGGGTTTGGGCCGGGCTCCTAAGTGATGGAAGCCAGGGCTCGCCACATTCTTGGAGCCTGAGGATGCTGGCAAGGGCCGAACTGCACCAATAGGAACAGGAGGCCTTCCTGTGTGCCCCGGCCCCTCTCCCTGCTGGTGTCATGGATGGTTTCATAACCACAGGCCATGCCGTTAACCTCTATGAGGAATGTGCCAGGGATCCATTTCTCCCACAGCTAAAAACTAGGTCATCCAAACCAGGGGCAAGGCGACACTGAGTTGTCACTCAAACAGCAGCGGTGAGACAGCCCTTATTCTAAGGAGTGAGCAGATACCTAAGACTTGGAGTCTCTTGCAAAGCCAAGCCCCAGAGGAGGATACCTAGACCAGCCTGGGGTTGGGGGCAGAAGCCACAGGGTCACAAAATGGGGGTAGGAAGGCTCCTGATACATCGGTCCTCCATGAGACCAAAGGTCATGTGAGAACAGGCCACACAGACAAGGACAAAGACAAAGACAAGATAAATCTCTGGATGCTACCAACTTTAAATAGACCAGCTCTGCTGGACATATATGCATGTGACTGTCAAGAGGGTTGGGGACACCAGCAAGGACACCAACAGGACAGAACCCAGGTTTTGTCCCAGGGCTCTCCCTGTGGCCCATCTGTCTGACCAGCAAACACAGAACCTATTTCTCTGTTGGTAGGACGGACTGTAACCTTAGGGATGTCAACTCTAGTCATCCAAACAAGAGTCCCATTCACGACACATCTCAAACCTGTATCCTCAAGGGTTTGAAAGCCTCCCCATCCACCCGCCAAAGAAAAAGTGGCAAGGAGTGTCTCAGTGAGCAGCTCCTAAGAGGAGATGAGTGACCACATGGGGACCTTGACCTGGCCAGTCTGGGCACCGGTGTCCAGGCAAGACTCCATGGCATGAGGGATGGTGCTGTCACCCTCACCAAAGGCCACAGAGGGACAGGATGTTCAATGTCACGGAAAGGAAGATTCCTGACTCTCTGTAACCCCCCACCCCCAAAGGACAGAGTACAGATCAAAAGCAGGACCCCAGAACCCAGAAGATGACACCCCCTTCTCCCCAAGTGTCCACTTTCACTGTCTGACGGCAAAGATCCGGAAGGCGTTTCCATTCTGAGGAGCACTCAGGCTGTAAGAGAAGAGGGAGGAGGAGGTTACAAGAGCTGTGGGCAGGGGGTGGCTGACAGGGTCATTATGGTGAGGACAGAACCCAGAGAAGTCACACCCAGCCAGACAAGCCCACTCGCACTGACAGGAGGCTACAGTGTGAGTCCATGCTGGGGCTGCAAAGTGACATTCTGACTCAGAGGTTTCTGGATCTGAGCTCTCCGTCTCTCTCTGTCTTTCTGTCTCCCTCTCTACCTCTCTCTCACACATACACACACACACTACACATGGGTTTTTCTGACATCTGTCTCAGACACCCGGTTGACAGACGATTTAAAGGGGAACATACATTGGAATGCTTCCCAAATCTTCTGTCCTGGGCCCACTAGCCTTTTTCAAGGCAGGGCTGCTGTTACTGTCTGTACATACAGGTGAGAAACAGACAGCAAGGGATCAAGAGAGCAACCCAGAGTCACAGAGTTAATCAAAGCCGGGCTCTTCGGATGGGGGTCAAATCCTTCAGAGCTTTTTGTTTGTCTTCGGAGACGGGGCCTTAGGCATCCTAGGCTGATCCTGAACTTGTTAGCCAGAGGAGGGTGCCCCTGAACTCCTGACCCTGCTGCCTCCACCTCCCCAAGTGCAACCACACCTACTTTATGCAGTGCTGGGCCTCGAACCCCGGGCTTCATGCCTGCTAGGCCAGCCAAGCAAGCGCTACCCCACTGAGCTACATCCCCGGCCCACAACCAGATTTTTAAAACAGCTTAACAGAAATATAACATCCTGTGAAATTCAGCCATGTTCTCTGACCTCTGCACCAGCTCCATGGTGTGGACACACACGAGATGGATAAACGCTCATGTAGGTCCTTCTGCCAACCCACCCCCTTACTTCCAGGCTGGCACCTCTGCCTCTGTGGACTTGCCTGGTCTGGAAGACCGGCGCTTTCTATCCATAGAGGCATCCAGCTGGGAGGTGGCCTGCCGTTAAACTACACCCACCTTTTAAAAACTTCAACGCCTTCCCAAGCGGCCACCTCATGTCCGTGCCCACTCACAACGCTCTGAGTATTTTGGAGGCTCCCCAGTCCTACTGACACCCGTGGTTGTCTTGCGGCCTTCGTCTGGATGTTCTGGGGACTCTGGCCTGAACCTGTGTCTCCCGTCATTGAGTGTGCGGAGTGACTCTCCCCCCCCTCAGCGGCTGTCACTGGAACGTGGCTGGGCAGAAGGATCTCCTAGTGCGGGCAATTCTTTTAATGCGGTGGTGGGGATGGTACCAGAGGCCTTGTGCATGTCAGGCAACCGCTCAGCTACCAAGCTGCAGCCCACGGCCCCATCTACCAAGACCCCAACTGGGTTATCTCAATGTTGAGTTGTAAGAGCTTATACACAGGTGTGCCTGTGTGCAGGCACACACATGCCCCCCCCCCACAAACATGCACACTGCGGCTGTGAAATCCTTTTCTACAAGTACAATTCGCAAAACTGTTCTCCCATTCTGTAGCCAGCCTTGCTATCCTCCCTCCCTGCATAGCCCCGACTCCACCTCTCCCTTCCATTCCTTCTCACAGGTCTGGGGCCCAGTCACACAGCTCTCGGGTAAGGCCGCTCTCTTTGACTACAGCCAGGATTTTGTGGTTGTTTTCTGAGACAGTGTCTCTGTGTAGCCCTGGCTGTCCTGGAACTCTTTCTGTAGACCAGGATAGCCTACAGCTCAGAGATCTGCCCATTTTGCGCTCCTTCCCCCCCCCAGTGCTGAGACCAAAGACGTGTGCCATCACCTGGCTCCTAGCCAGCTTCTGGCTGACTGCCACATGGCTCACTCCTGAGCATACACGCTTGGTGTCTACTTTTCTTTGCTCTCCTGAGACTTATTTTTGTTTCCTGTGTGTTCCTGAGTGTTAGTTGGTACACTGTGTGTATGCAGTGCCCATGGAGGCCAGAAGGGGGAGTCAGAAACCCTGGAGCCGGGTTACAGGCAGTTGAGAGCTGCTCAGTTTGGGTGCTGGGAAGCAAACCCAGTTTGCAAGGGCAGTGAGCGCTCTTGACCACTGAACTGTCCCCGCATCTCCCTTCTCTTCATTTTTAATGCTGTCTTTTACAATATAAAAGTTTAAGATTACCCGATTTATCTTTTTTTTTTTTTTTTTCCACAACTATGCTTTGGTGTTATATGGCATCATGATCACACAAGCTTAACCTTGCCTTCTTCTAAGAGCTTTTAAGTTTTAGGTCTTATATCCATTTGAGTTGGTTTTATGCGTGGTAGGAGGCCTGGCCCAGCTTCACAATTTTGCGTGTCGATTTTTAGCTAGGAGTCCTCTAAACTCCATGTACACACACACACACACACACACACACACACACACACACGCACACACACGCACACATGAAATAAACTATTTAATGGAAAAGTGGAGTCCTAGCCCTTGTGTGGGACACCCTCTACACTGCTATAAACTGTAAAGGAGGAAAATGCTTCCTATCTGGTCTCCGTGCTCTACAGTGAGCGCCCCTAAAGCCTCTGCTGCTTAGGTTGCCGTATCCCATCCCCTCCTTTCTGCGCAGACGTAGAACGGAATAGATGCAACCACACACAAACCACAGCGCGCACCGATCCAACTCTTGCTTTCTTTACTTAATAATGTAACTTAGAACTTTTGTTTGTTTTTGGAGACGGATTCTGGCTGTGTAGCCCAGGTTGGCCCCAAACCTATGGCAAGCCTCCTACCCCAGCCTCAAATGTACTAGGGTCACAAGAATGGGCCACCATACCTTGCCAGAATGTTCTTATTCTGTTTTCTCAGCTGCAGGGTACTCTGATAGGTTTAAGTTGCATTTGGGACTCTAGAGACGGGGACAGCATTGTTTCTAGTCATCATTTCACTGGCAGACATCACTGTCCAGCAGTCTTGTGTACCTACTTCCGAGTCCTGAAGCCCCCGGGAACGGGATTGTTGTATTAAAGTATGGACGTGAACTGAATGTAGAGGCACATGCCTATAGCCTGTAACGTGGAAGGCTGAGGCAGGAGGATCACGGATTCCAAGCCAGCATGGGCTACAGAGCAAGGTTCTGTTCCCAAGAGGTAAAGAAGGCATGAGTACAAGGGACGTGGGAATACAGTTTGTGACAGAGCACTTACTTTGCGCAAGGCTCTGGGTTCTATCCTCAGCACCACAAAAAAGTTAATAATTATAATAATAACAATAAATTAAAGCCCGGGTGCATCCGAGATCGTGGTAGCTGCTCAAGGTGTTTCTTGTAAACATTGCACTAATTGATACCTCCTGGAGCAGGCGCGCTGGGTGGCCGGTTAACCTGTGAGGTCCTATTCTCAGTGGGGAAGGGTCCACAGTTACAGCATGCACACTGCATCTTATGAAAATGCCTGGACAGCCTGAACACAACTTATCAACGCCATTTCCTGCAGGGTCTCCGCTGGGAGCAGAAGAACCCAGATTCGACCAAGCCCTTAGACCTGACAGCAGGCCAGGCTCTGGGCGGCCCAGGGAGCTACGTCCTGCAGGAACAGCTGCTTGGAATTCCAGCTTGTTTTTCTGCCTTCCCTGTGGCAGCCTCATGCTCTTGGCTACCCCAGGGTTGAACCCTGGAAAAACGTATCCCATAGACCCGCTCAGTGACAGGGTGCCTCAGGGAGGTGTGAGACCAGGACACCGCGGGATACTCCCAGGGGCAGTCAGGGCCAAGCAGGGGGAGAAGAGCAGCTGCTCGGGGGCCAGGCTCACTCAGCAGCTCGGCTGGTTTCCGGAAACTGCCTTCTGCTCCTTGGGTTTCCGGCTGAAGCGATCCCAGAGCTCTGTTCACTGAGTAGCCAGGAGAGCCACCCAGGGCCATGTGCTCCCTGCCCGCCCCACGTGTGAGCAAGCCACGTGGGGGAAGGAAGAAGGGAACTGGAAAGAGTTTTGCTAGATGCTGGTACACACAACCCTGGCAAGGCAGCCCCGAGGAGCACCCAGCCTGGAACTAGGGAGCTCTTTAGAGCATTCGGCATGCCTTGCAGCAGAGAGCCGAGCAGAGGGGTCCATGCGGATGCCGGTCCCTCTGCTCTCTTCCTGAAACCACAACACTCACTGAGCTTAACCTGCAGGTCAGCCGCCTGCTGTGTGTCTGAGGAAGGTGTGTAGGGTGTGATAAATCATAAAGTAATCTCTCCTCACCCCGGTCTTCCCCAAGCCCTCCCTCAGCTGCTCTTGATGGGTCAGCTTGCAGCCCCCACATATGTCTCTGGAGTTAGCCTTTTGGCTGGGCTTAGGTGGCCTGAAAGCCTCCAGGATGTGCCTCTCTTCACCTTCTTCATGATACGTAACACCATGCTGAGCTTTATGTGGGTGCTGGGATCTGAACTCGGGTCCTCACGCTTGCACACTTTACCTATGTGACCATCTCCTGAGTCCTTGGGATAACTGGCTTTCATAAAGGGCATTAAAGAATTTAATTTTGAAAAAAAAAAAGCATCAAAAATCTCTCAGCCAGTTTTAAAGGTCTTCCTGGACTCAAAGGTTTGTCTATCATTCAAATACTGTCGGCTGCAGACTTAGCACACGCCAGGCTCTGGGTTCATATGTTGGGGATGGGGTGGTAACAAGATGGATGGATTCTGGCCTTCAAGGCGCCTACACCACACAAACACATGCAAGGAGATTTCACAGAGTGATGACTTGGGAAAGAAGCAGGCAAGCTGGGTCTGGAGGAGGGAGAAGCGTGCCTCCCAGGGAGGCAGCGCTTGTCTTCAGATCTGAATGGCAGGAAGGATCAGCTACAGCCACTCAGGAGCAGAGAGGGCTCTGGCTCAGAAGACAGCCAGTGCCTCCACATGTTCCAGAAACAGGGGGGGAAGTGGAAGTGTGTTGGTGAGGTGCCAGGGGGCAGGGCTTCACAGCGGAGCGGGCGTGTCTGGGCACTGGCAGGTGGGTTCTGTTCCCAGCACAGCAGGAAGCCACTGGTGGGAAGGGCCCCACAGGAAGTGGGTGCAGAGGCAGACATGACAGCACAAGGGCACCATGATGGTTGTGGCCTTTCTCTAAGAGGAAGCTACCTGAGGGACCTGCTGGGAGTAGGGACTACACAGAGACGCCCCTGCTTAGTACAGAAAACCGAATGGGGAAGGAAGCAGCTGGATATGATGCCACCACAGTAAACAAACAGCCATGAGCCTCCCAGGAGGCAGTATGGCGAAACATCTCAGCCTTGCTGCCAGTGCCCATCCCCTCTCAAGAACAAGTGTGGGCTGGGCATAGTGGCATACCCGTTTCCTAGCATTCCAGAGGCAAAGACCAACAGATTTCTGAATATGAAGCCAGCTTGGTCTACACAGGCAGTTCTAGGCCAACTAGGGCTATACAGTAAGACCCTGTCTAAAACATAAAAATATTTTCCCTACCAGAGCCCAGGAGATGGCTCAGCAGGAAAAAGAGCTAGCTGTACAAGCCT